TCACTTTTGTCAAAGTACATGCATGTTTAGGGGTTGCGCAAAAAACTTAGTTTTAGAGCAAAAGTCTGCTAGTTTTAAGCTTGTTTTGCTCTAGATAAGACAGTAGTAATAGCCTTACTCCTGGGAAAAACCAAGAGAATGAAAACATAGACACGTTTCATGTATATATACATATATATATATATATATATATATATATATATATATATATATATACATATATCACGCGTCTACATCTCCATTCTCCTGGTTTTCCTCCGACGAATAAGGCTATTGCTAATGTCTTATCTATGTGCATAATGTTTCTGACAAATGCACTTCACAACTTACCAAATTTTGTTTCGTTCTAAGGTGATCATCATGACATTATGCAAATTGGCATAAACACCGACTGAAATGCTTGAAACACAGCCCTTTAGGACTTCCTCATCATACTGATTCGATATTTTCGACAATAACATTCAGGTGGTGGATGACTTGAGCAGAGGGAAATACAAATAAGACGCGCGGGCTGGGGGTGTAGCATGCTGAACAATGAAAACATTTGAAACTGCGTCGAAATGGGTTCGAAACACATTCTCGTGATAAAAGTGGCTCGAGAGTGAATGCATATAAATGCGTTGCGAAATCATCTTATCCCTCTTTAACACCATCTGATCTCACTTTAGCCTTTTAGTCCTCTGTTTGACCTCGACAAAGAAAACGGAAGATGCCAAGCCATGCGAGATGAAATTTATGTGCCAGACGGAGCTACGTTACACCACCACGCCACCAAGTATTTATGTGCCAGACGGAGCTACGTTACACCACCACGCCACCAAATATCTGTTCTGAACACACACTGTATGCCGTTACACTTCGAATTGTGTTCGGTATCCGCTTCTTACAAGTGCTGATCCGCTACCAAAATAGTTCTTTTCATCCCTCACAGAAGTCACTGCTTCTAGTCCCTGTCACCGACTACAACGCGTGCAAAAATACCTATAATTAACGCATGTCTCTTTGGTGCATCATTTGTAACGTGCCCATATCACTCAACTGCATGCTAAAACGGGTAACCGTTCTTTTGCGTCCTAATCAGCAGTTGGCTTCCTCGCCCACCGGCCAGCATCGATATGAATAAGTTGGAACACCAGCCAAGAGACTCATCTGGCAGATGAGACAATTGTCACTCCGAGTTGGCAAATGTTGTATCTCCGAAATGGGTCATCACCAGCATAGACGACGGCGTCATAACTGCTGCAGCTTTTCACCCGGACCGTCTCGGGCGTCAGATGGAGATGCATCACGACCAACGCCGAGGATAATGGAGGAAGCCCACCGCTCCTTCGTCAACTGGGACACATAATTGACGCATATGACACAGCAATACTCTTGGCTGGTTTAGCTTCTTCAGATTGATGCTAGCCGGTGGCCAAGCAATCTAGTCGACCAATGGCAGGCCAACCACGGCTATACGTTTTATCTTGATTTTGAGCGGAATACAAAAGTTTTTAATGATGTTGCAACGAAGGGTGTGTCACTGATTGAAATCTTCGCAGGCTTGTAGATGGTGACAAGTAGCAGCTGCAGTGTCTTCTGCACGAGGTGGAAGCCCACCGGCAGAGGAAGGGACCTTTTCACTGATAACGCTTTTAATAAGCGTACACCGGGCATACTTCGATGCATAACGACGCATATTGCGTGTTCCTGGCAATTTTACAATAGAGCAACGATGTGACATCGGGGTCTGTGAAGCATTCAGTTTCATTTCGCATGGCTTCACATCTTTTCTCTTGGTCAAGGTCAAACAGAGGGTAAGAATGTCGAAGTGAGGTGAGATTGGCTTAAAGAGAGGTCGAATGTGCTCATGTCGCATGAATATACGCACCATTGAGCCCCGTTCGTTGCTAGAATTCATTTGGCACCTATCTCGACCGGAATTTAACATATTACTAACATGCTTAGCCTACCATACCTTTCCAAAAATGTTATTCTTTGGATGCCGCACCGCTCGTAACCTCCCATTGGCTCCCTGTCGCCCTGTTTCTACATTTAAGAACAGATGCGTGGGCTTGTCGGTAGATTGCTGCGCTTTCCCATGTCGTCATGATGACTTCTGATATTTTTATTGGAATTGAGCCGCACAGAGAATCCTGATTCGGCAAACTCGCGATCAAAATCTTCACTCTGCAACACGCTGCAGGCCGTGAACCTTTCGAGAGATGTGTATAGTTGTGCGACTGGCCAACCCTCGCGACACATGCGTGCACCGGTTCTGTTGCCACGGACACCTTGCTGTTGCCCAGTGACGTGCGTGGACGGAGAGCGAATGGGACGGCAATGTTTCATACCGCATGCATGGCTTAATGATAGGCAGGCGCGGCAGAGCGATAAGTTTTTGTTTGTCGTTAATGTACCAACTCCCGTTCATTTCAACACGCTTCAGCACTCTGGTCTAGTTGTTTCCATTTGGTTGCTTTGTCCTGGCTTACTTTTCCCTGATATTCACGCTGAGACGCCAAATCCACTTAAAATGGTATTTACGTATACCCTGAAACGCCTTCTTGTAATGTGTGTCCACGCATGTCATAGCCGCGCTTTTTAGCGTAGCCCACGCAATTTGCATACAAAAAGCGGCGTCCCAGCCCAGTATAAACCCGATAAGCGCGATCTAATTGTGTATACACACGGACGTCCCATTGGTACATGCGTAAAAAAAAATAATGGCACTCACTATCATGTTGGGCAAATGTACGACTTTTCATCATCATAACATTTCTCACGACTTTTGCGGTTGGTGTAATGTCTTAATGGACAAAATTGGCATCGCGCTTATCAAGAAACAACCTCCAGCGTCAGCTACCATCAGCATAGCTTTGCCCTTCCGCGCGAAGAGAGACTTTTGCCATCCCAGGGTTGGGTGGCAACGGACTGAATTACGGACGTTATTTCCGTGCGGCCCAGGGATGGCACAAAGCCTCTCTCTCCCATTCCCATCTCTCACACAAGGTGGAGCTTGTCTAGAATTTCGCACGCCGTACGCTCTTTATCGTCTTTTACCATTGATTTTTGGGGATTTTATGTCTGCACACGAGGTCTTTCGTTCACCAGGTAAATTTAACAACCTAGCTCAAAGGGAGACTTAGGAATTTTACGTTATCCTAGAGAAAGTTTCTGACGCACGCCTACCCCAGGACTTGCCATAACCGGTTAGTTTTGCGCCTGTCCCCTTTGGCAAACTTTGTACGATCTTGTGTCACACGAATACTTTTCGATAAGTAGACCACCCTGTAGAAGACATCACGGTTAAAATTTCCTTTATCCATTCCACTCGGTAATAACGAAACTGTGCTCATACCCACCTGCCATCGATTACTTATAAGCTGTAGTCACCTGTCACCCACCTGTTCACGTTTATCCAGCCATTTAATGCTCAGTTGCGGGAAAGTTTCAAGATGCTTTAACCAGAATTCACTCTTTTTTACGCTTAAAATTACAAACAATATTGAAAACTTAGCTGGTCATGGCTTAAAGAAGCACAAGTAGTATCATTTGTAGTATTTCTCAAGCATCTATCCGACGTGTTACAAACATCATATCCATGCTCACATCCATAGCCGTAATTTTCCCAAAATCTAGACTGAACTCAGCCTGTTACCCATTGCATGTGGGTATTCCTGTGCTTACCCCACTACTGAAGTCCTATCCGACCCTGTGTATCGGTCTGCCCAGACTACTCTACGCCACGGGCATGACCTGACGCCAATACCGTACCTCCAAAGAGGGGTCAAATGAACCTAGCAACGTGAACAGCATGAACTCGTATATTTCACGGTATAAAATCATAAGCGATACGAGCATAGTCATGCCAATAATGCCACCGGTATCATATTTCATAGCTTGCTTTCCAACACGCGTGCTTTACCCGCTGTTTCCCGCGTGACATCTATTGCCCGTCGTTGTCAAGCAAATATTCGAACGCGCGTGGAGCGTTGCTATAAGGCCTTCAGACCTCTGTGCCGGTCATACACATCACCCCAGCCCCCTTGAAGCTATCTGACCTTCCCTTCTTGGGGAGAACACTTCACACCACCAACGGCGAACTTTCAAGGGATTAGCTCTTTCTTGTACTCTTCGACATTTGTTGGATCAGACGCGTTCAATTTGATCTGTTATGTCTATTTTCACGAAATGCTTACGGCTAGCCCAAAATTTCGGTTTGAAGCAGCATATCCGGCGGGAGGAAATTCTCTGGACTCCCTATTCACCATCACGAGAGTAATAATCTGAATTTGCCTGCTTTTCCCAACGTTTGTGCTCTGTAATGTATGCACAACACTAATTCGAAAAAAATACCTGCGTAATGAATGCTAAAAGGGTTGGATCCCTCCGCTCAAGAGGAAACATAACAAACGTAACATTATTATCACGCGAAATCAACAAAACGTCGCGCTTCGGCCTTGGTTTTGCACCTGTGGCGTTTAACCAGACGCTCTTTTCGAAGCGCACTTTGGCTTTGGGAAGCCCTAGATATACCAATGCACTTCTCAGCAAATGGCCGGCGCCATCCCGACCCTGATAACGCCGGAAACTCAGCTGATCCAAAGGTCGTCTCAAGAACTGATCTCGGCGGCGGCCATCGCGTCGCTTGCGCCGTGCGTGCGGCCAGGGACGCATCGGCGGAAAAAAATCCAAGGTCACCGAAGGCCACCGCCGCCGCCGCCGTTCACCCTGGTCGAAAGCAAGTGTCGCCCAACCGGCGGCCGCATCTGGGATCTTAATAAAGTCTACCATCTTGTGAATAAACGTCACTGAGGAAAACATTTTAGTAACAGCTGATAGGCGTACACAATGCGTGGACGAATGCAATCAGGGTGTACGGCTGTCCTACTAAAGAGCCGGCCGACGCGTGCATCTCCTGCACGACGTATCCGGCGGGAGAATCGGGCTCGACCATATCCTCCAAATCGGAATCAGAACTAGGCAGGGCTGCAAACATTTTCAGTTTAAAGAACGTGTCATGAACAGCGGTTTATTTCATTTCCACCGAGTACATGTTTGGAAATGGTACAGCATGTCGATGCTCTGCAGTGACAGGTTGTGACAGCATTTTCATTACGTGGAACGCCACTAGACTCATCGAGCTAAAATTTTATCTAAATTGCGTTTAAGGTGACACAATATATATTTTTTAAAAATTGAATTGTTTACATTCACCTCCTGAGTGCTCATGTAGGGGTGATCCGATCTGGTGGTTCCGTCGGCCTTGATATGCCGCCCCCGCCACTGCCCCATCTTGCAATTGTTTTACTCATACATGACAGACTCGTAGACCACCATGCCTAGTATACTGGAAAATTCATGTTCAGTCCCCCAAGAATGAGCATTCTCACGCAGCGTGAAGACCAACGAATGTTACATTGCTGCTTTCAATCACCTTGTCCTTCCGCCACTGAAGTCAAACTTTCCCGTAGTGCAGAAGCTGAGAGTGTTCCATATTTGTACCAGATTTATGTACTGAAAGTTATCTTGAAGATCATTTAGTACCGCTCAAAGCCCTGCCCCTCTGGAGACCAAAATGTCTCTTACTTCTGAGCTGCACCCCCGCCAAGATGTGCAGACTATTTTGTGCAGAGTACTTCAAGGTTACTACGACATTCATGATGTCATAACTCATTTAAGTACTGCCACTCGACTGTCTATGCGATGTTCAAGGTAAAACAGATATTATCATCAAGCCGTTCATATCTGGGGCTCGTAAGCACGATTTTCAGCTATAACGGTCGTCAATTGGCTCCCAATCAGTGTTAAGCAAGATGTACATGTTTCTAACACGAATTATATTTTATGCTACACCATACAAGACGTTCTAGCTTCGTCCCGGTTACTGAGGAAATAATAACATAATGGGACAACTTAGGAATAGCGTTAAAACCGAACATGTGGGCGCAAATAAATGTCTTAAACTCAAGGAAAAATGTCAGAACCCCGACGGGGAGGGGCCGAAACACGCGCACATCACGATAGTTGGCTCACAGAACACTTTCAGCCCATATTGCGATCTCTCAGGAGATTGAAAAACCACAAGGGAACGCTGTCATACAAACTTTCCATGACGCAATAAAACAATCACATATTGAGCAGAATTACAAAATATAGAAATTTTGCTGTCTAAGCGGCATTTTCCACTTCAAAGTGTACCAATACTTGTAAGTGAAATGATTTCGTGTCATCTAATGCTAATGCTCACATCTAATGCTACATTCAATATCTTAAAATGGCGAGCATTCCATGTAAGGCTCGGGGCAACTAGGTCCAGCTAATTTGATCAGCGTCCCTCTGGGCGTGACCCGTCGTTGGACTGACACTGCTGCGAGGTCATTACTGACCCTAGTCGTCACTGGCTCTCAGTTCCACCTTCAAATGCAGTTTCTTGCCCTCAGGCGCGGTGATAAACGTCTTCTTGTCAAGCGGAAGGGGAGGTGGAGGCGTCTTCTCCGTCGGCAGCAGCGTGCCCTTTCGGAGCAGTGTCGCCAGCGCCACCTTCGCCTCGAACAGTGCAAACCGCATGGCGATACAGTTACGCGGTCCGACACCGAACGGTATGTAGGCGCACGGGTGACGCTTCTCCTTCTCCTCGGGCAGGAAGCGGTCCGGGTCGAAGCGCAGCGGATCCGGGTAGTGGTCCGGGTCACGGTGGAGCACGAATACCGGTATCTGCACCAGCGTGCCCTTGGGCAGGTGGACGTTCGTACCGGGCAGAGTGTAGTCCTTGGTCGATAAGCGCTCGATCCGCGTGGCTGGTGGGTACATGCGCAGCGTCTCGGACAGCACCCGGTCCATGTAGGACATCTCCATCACGGCGTCGTACGTCAGCTGACCGCCGTGGTTGGTTACAACATCGTCCACCTCCTGCTGCGCCTGACGCTGCACCTCGGGACTGGTGGCCAGGCAGTAAGCAGCGAACGTCAATAGCGTGGCCGTCGTGTCGTACCCGGCGAAGAAGAAGAGCACCGACTGACTGACAATGCTGGTGGTGCTGAGCACGCGATTGCCGTCCTTGTCCTTGGTGTCCAGTAGCAGCTGCAGGAAGTCTCGCAGGGACGTTGGGTGCTTCTCCCGATGAGCGATGGTTGTGTTGATGACGTCTCCGAAAAACTGATACACTTCCTTGTCCGGGTTAGGGATTTTTGAAGCAATTGAGCGCGGGATGGTTAACATTGCAATGCTACGGAGCATTCCAAGCATCCCAGGACTGAACAACTTTGCGGCGTTCGTTGCAAATTTAGTGTTCGGGTCAACGAAAGAGTTGCAGTTAACGCCGAAGGCGCAGGAGGCGATGTTGTCCATAGTATATCGCCCGAATGCGTCCTTCATCTCCACCTCCCCCTTCTCCTGCATGTCTTCCAGCACATACTTGTTCAGGTTGGTAGCGTTGTCTAGCGTCAGCTGGTGCATGGCCTTCATCTTGCTGGCGGAGAACGTGGGCGACATGACGGCTCGTGTGCTCTTCCACAGTTCCCCGTTGACGGCGCTCAGAGCTCCCTTCATATCTTCTAATTCGCCAAAGTCTCGTCGGTCGGAGAAGTACTCGAAGTCCTTGATACTGATGGCCCGGATCAGGTCAGGGTCGCCGACGAAGAGCACCGGCCGGTTCATCTCCATGTAGCCGCAGTACTTCTTGCCGCCGTGCTCGCTGTAGAGCCACTGCTCGAACTCGACCATCGGCGCCATGAACGGCATCCCATACTCGTTTCCCCAGGGCAGTGTAGCCTTCGGCCCAGGCACGCCGCGTGAGGGCCAGAAGTCGAAGTCTTTGGTGTACCTAAAGTAGGCGTACACGAGGGTGACCACCAGAACCGCAAGCGGAATCGGTGACAGCAGCCAGCGGGCCACCGCCAGCGGCACCGACAGCAGCCAGCCCAACATGGCGCTGCCTCACTGACGCACTCTCACTCACAGGTCTGCCAGCCGGCCGCACACCTGCAGCCGGGTCAGCTGCTTCCGGCGGTTGTCAAGGGTAGCGCGCTATCCCCGCTTCCTCGCACTTCGTGCTATAGCAGCAGCAACCACACCCGCCCGCCACGCATCCCGCGCTGGACAGCTGACGACGCGCGCAGATATTGCGAGAGGTGCAGCGACCTTGGACCAGGCGCGGATCCAGAATCTCCGCGGGGGGGGGAGATTTCTTTAGCAACGTCTCTGTACAGTGAAGCTCCTTACCAGCGAACATAGCCCCCACATCAGCAGCGTAGCTCTGCAAGTTGCCGGTGTGGAGCTGAGCACTGTAAAATGTCGCAGCCTTCCCCAGAATAGCCAAAACATGACTTCATCCCGTTTATTTATTCCGGTACCTATAAAACGCCACTGTTGGAGAAAATCTACTGCCAGGTAGCCAAATCAGAGGAATTTTCTTACTGAACCGCCACGTCCGCGAAATACCAGGCGTTAAAAAACATTCGCTGATACGGGTGCGCGATGGGGTGGCAGCCAAGGCCACCAAGGCCTATAATGAAAGCGTAATAGCGCAGTGGCATCGTAGTAATGTGACTTCAAAGGCGTTCTCGCCTATCACGTTCAATAATGGTGAGGAACACCGAAGAGAGCACAGACAAAATAGCAGTGAGCCATTTGCGTTACTGTTCGAGTGTATCTGTAGGCAGGCTGATCAGAATGAATGTACGACTCCCACCTCAAAAGCACACCTCCAAACGGACGCGTTTTTCTGGTGATTTGCCTTCTTTCTCAGCAAATTTCGGAAGGCTTGAGCCTAAGTATAGGAGCCCTCTAGTGAATAGGGAACTACGCGAATGCAACATCAGGTCGTTAGCTTATTGCGTGCATACTCAGTGCACATGGACATGGCGGGTACATCGAAAGAGAGAACGCAGGTGATAAATGACCAGCTCGTCCTGGTCTGTCGTTTTTTTTTTTTTGTAAAGCGTAATGCTAGCTGGGGGCGATGAGACCCGCTACCCCTTTGCCGTTTCCAAACTAGGAAAGATAAAGTCTAGCAAAAAGCACCTGTGGGTTGATCTTAGCAAGATCTTGCGATTGGTACTACTTTTCTTGCTGTTCGATTGATATTTGAAACCATTATGTCACGCCAAAGGTCAAATTTTCCGGAATATCGAACTTGTTCAGCTTTACATGCTCATCTTTTCTGTATCATGCCTTGAAGTGACACGAAACTTAAACAGACGCGTTTTACGCGCAGTTGTGAGTATAATGATGTGTAGCTTATGTATTTTAGGATCCATTTTTTAAGTAAAGTTCCGTTAATGTAACAGTGTAGACCCGAGGTGCGCAGCCCGCGGGGCCGTCGATTGCCGCCCACCGCCTGCACCGGCCGTGGGTTGCCGCCCACCGCCCGCACCGGCCGTAGGTTGCCGCCCACCGCCCGCACCGGCCGTGGGTTGCCGCCCACCGCCCGCACCGGCCGTGGGTTGCCGCCCACCGCCCGCACCGGCCGTAGGTTGCCGCCCATTGCCCGCACCGGCCGTAGGTTGCCGCCCACCGCCCGCACCGGCCGTAGGTTGCCGCCCATGGCCCGCACCGGCCGTAGGTTGCCGCCCATGGCCCGCACCGGCCGTGGGTTGCCGCCCACCGCCCGCACCGGCCGTGGGTCGCCGCCCACCGCCCGCACCGGCCGTGGGTTGCCGCCCACCGCCCGCACCGGCCGTGGGTCGCCGCCCACCGCCCGCACCGGCCGTGGGTTGCCGCCCACCGCCCGCACCGGCCGTGGATTGCAGTGGAGTGTTCCACATTCAGGGGACAACAGGGGTGTTTTATGTGCGGTGACACGGGTGTTGCTTTCTATTCTTTTGGACCAGAGACGTATAGGAACGGGATTCAGGGACGAGACCCCGAGTGCCAGAAGGACTCTTGTGTCGGCCGGGGACTTAAACAATGAAAGGAAACATGATAACTTATGATGACAGTTTACATTGAGACAATTGAACGGCCCTCTGTCAGTCAGAACCCCCAGTATCAAACGATGGGCCCTCCAACCTAATTCCAGCCACCAGTTCCGCTTCGGCCCATTAACCTAAAGTGAAGAGTATGTGCTAGTTTTTGGACTACCTGCGGCGATCAAAGGTGTGTACAAATCACGGTTCCTTCTTTGACCTGAGGCCAACTTTGCGGGCTAAAAGACCTCCCGCGTCATTGAGCGTACCAATGTCATATGATATATCCCTCTAAGACCTTCCGGATCGACCATGAGGGCTCCGCCCCATGTAGCCGGAAGGCACCCTGCGTGTTGGGATAGAATGGCCATTCAGCCATTCACCGGGACCAATGATGTGCCAGTGTTCTACTCAAGGAACCACTGGCCCGCAAAAAGTAAGGTGTCTCATCAGTGTTAAATGGAGTGGGTCGAAATGACTTCAAAAATAAAAAAATGACAGCCCATGCTTGCCGGAGAACGTTCACCATCGATTAATGAAGCAAATTGCACCGAAGTGTTCTGAGCCTGCGAGATCGCACTCTCAGGAGTGAGAATAGCATTGACCGGGGTCGCCGGCGGCGCACACCTTGCGCAGCGACGGTCGTCGTAAAATAATGCTCCGAAAGTCTTTCAAAATTAATTTGCGCTGCTCAAAGATTGGACTGGGGCATTAGAAAATTAGGCCGTCGTCCGGTCGGAGGAACAGCTACAGCGACACGAAAAACAGAAATTCTTCCTCCACTCATTCTGTTCCACCACCAGATTCTCGTCAACCTGTTGGCCGCCGCTCGGCGTAAAATAAACAGTGCCGATGGCTTATTCCTGGTTTAACGCTTGATTTCTTGAGTTAAATGAACTAAAAATTTAAACAGAATTGATCTTGCGGTAGCTTCTGACTTCCGTCCCAGCTATAGAAGGTACAAGTGCTAGTAAACAAAGGAAACCATGCTCTTATTAACAAGTGCGGATTCGGATCTCACAATTTTTGTGCCCTTTTTGAGGGGGGGGGGAAGAGCTTTATCATCAGGGACCATCTCTCAAATTTGCGCTCCCCCTCTTGCCGAGGCCCTGGCTGCGCCCCTGGACACCACCGCAGCCAGGCGGAACCACTCGTCGCTGCGCTCCCTGGCGGCCGCTCCCGTGCGCTACCCAGCCCCCTACCAGCCGGCCAGACCCGCGCCGATGCTGCTTGAAAGGCAGGAGGGCCGCGCTGTCAGCATTGTTCATCACACGTAAGGGCGCGCGCACTCGCCTCCACTTCATTTTTGTTTTATTAGAGCACCAACGTTTGCACTTCTGACCTTGTCAAGGTGGCGGCAAGGCTCCGCGGAGGTTAGCGACGACCTGGTGCTGCCGCTGGCCCACCCCGACACTCGGCTGCCCGCGCTGCAGCAGTACGACGCGCAGGTTATACATGGCTTCTGTGTAGTGTGCTGTTAACTAATTGAGGACGGGTCCGTTTTCCAGTCCAGTACCCACCCATCGTTATGACTCGAAGACAAATCGAAGGCGAATCGCCGGTCTCGGGTAACGCACATTGTTTTCGCTGAGTCACGGCCACGTTTGGTGGGCGTGCCACGAGGGAGTGAGTTTGACTGGGGTCCGCTGCCGCTGGCCAACTAGTATGGTGGTCTGGTTCGAGTGAAGAGGGTGTTGGAAGTTCGAGAAAGCTCTGGCTGGTGCAGCTGAATAACATCCGGGGTGCAGGGAAGCCTGGGACGTCGTCAATAAGGGCACGCTTACTCCAGGAGTCTGGCATGGCTCTTACGATCCCATCATGTTAATGTTTTGGTGCTCAGAACACCAGATGGGACCGGCACTCGTTGATCATCGGCCTTCTCTTCAGTCATCAACTCCTGATCGCTCCCCACGAGTCGTCGTCGGCCGGACGCCTGCCGACTCATCCCCTCCCGCTCTATACCTTGTTTGGTCGGTGTGAATGACTTGCTCAGCTCTGCACACTAAGCGACAAAAGCAACAGATCGCGAGCGCACTTAAAATTGCGCTTGTGCTTGGATCTGATCGTGAATCCCGCGCTAAAAGACTGAAGCGCCGATGCAAGGACAACAAGCAACTCGGTTTGTGTCTCCGTCATTTGAAGATATTTCATCATGTATGAAATGAGCTCACTCGTAATTATTGGTTTGCTTTTAAGTGTTTAAACTGCTCTATGCTTTAACAAATTGCCGATTAAAATAAGTATGCTGCTCAATATGTCATCGTTTGCTTATGTCATGAAACATTTTTATGACGTTGAGTTGCTGCCAGACTGACCGTGTCAGAATTGCCACTGTAAAGGACGGGCCAACTGCTTTGTGGTAATCCAACCTGCCGAGAGGCTTGTACCAAACCGGGTACACTGGGGCGGGTTTACCAACCGAGCACCACCATGTGCTCATGTTTTGGTCTTTTCTCGTGGTGTTCTTTTATATTTGTCCGTGGTTTTACACTGTCATCTCGCATTCACATGCTCGGGCATGGCGCTAATCTTGTTGTTCGATTCCCAGTCTTACTTCCGTCATGTCTCGCGCCGCGGCCCAACTTCCTGCATTATATAGCACAAAACGTCATTCGTGTTTGAAACTTGCATTGAACGCATTACACTCATGAAAGGTCATTTAAATATTTTTCCTGACCTTAGGTTCCACATGATCAATGAGGTGACAGTATTCGCGTGGTATTTCTATAGCGTCATGCATGCCTAGGTGACCTTGAAATAATTGCACGAAACGGGCTGTACAAGTTAGCGGTCGTCAAGATCAGAAACAAAAGGGTTTTGAGTCTCAAATAGGGCATGACTTTGAACTGCGCTAAGTGATTTTGAAAGTGGCAATCTCAGTTCAAAACCCCATACGGATGCGGAATGCTTGCTTTAATGGATATATCCCATTGCCATAATGAAAGTGCACAGCCGTGCTGCGCAGCACGGGACGACTAAAACCAAAAGCAACGTTCCTGCTGCTGGAGACTGCAACGTATCAAACGCTTTCACATGGGGGAAAACTGCCCGTGCGGCAATTCAAATTGTTGTTTGAACGACCTTGTGCCAAGGTCTTTGAATATCATGTGATTAGCAACATTTCTACTTGTCGATGGACAAGGTTCAATTTAACGTTACAAGATCACATT